GGGGTGTGACTGGACTGTACCACCACCATCTATTAGGGAGGGGAGAACGCTTTGGTTGTACCGCCACCATCCAGTGGGGGAGGGGCCTTGCCCAGGCTGTTCCACCACCATCTACCTGAGGGGGGTCGGGGTACATGCATCTGGAAGTGATACCTGGACCATACCACCCCCATCTAACCAGTACCCCCACCATCCACAGCAGAGGGAAGAGGAAGGATACCTGGACCGTACCACTACTGAGAAGGTTCCGCTATCATACCACCATCTAGCAGGGCAGGCAGGGGGTTCCCAGACCATACCACTGCTACCTCCCAGAAGGGGGGGAGGCTGCCTATCTGTACCCCCACCACCTACCTTGACTTCCACACCCCCTCCCCAAACCCCCAAATCCCAACCGGGGGGGGGGGGCACATGTCATGGGACCCCCAAAACGGGTCTGAACCTCCCTCACCAGCGTCGTGGATGGCCTGCGAGCTCTCAGGATCCATGGCCAGGTTGCCCAGGGCCCGCGCCGTGCGGTTCTGGATGCTCTCGATGGGGTTCGACTTCAAGATGGCCACTGCGGAGAGGGGCGGAATTGGGGGTGGGGGCTGAGCAGGGAGGCAGCCAGCTCTGGGGGGTGCTGGTGGCCAGGTGTAATGAATTGGGGCCTCTGGACTGTGTCGTGTTGGCTCAAGGGAGCCCCAGCCTTGGCAAGAAGTTAAGGGGGAGCCGGAAGGTGCCATCTAAGGGAACCCAGGGGAGGGAGGGTCCTAAAGCAAGGCAGGGGGGCACTGGGTTGCGCCACATTCATTTCTGGGGGCGACAGAGCGGGGGGAGCCGCACCCTGATATTTGGCAAGCAGAAAAGTAATACATGGACCATACTACTTCAACCCAGGAGGGGATCCACGGATCATACCACTGCAACCCGGGAGAGGGAAAGGGGTCCCCAGACCTTACCACGCCAACCCAGGATGGGGGGAAGGGGTTCCCCAGATCCCCCCACACCTGGGGGGGGGGGGGGGGGCGCTCCCCGGATCGCCCCACTCCGACCCAAGGGGGAGGGGGAGCGCTCCCTGGATTGTCCCACTCCTACCCGGGGGGGGCGCTCCCCGGATCGCCCCACTCCGACCCAAGGGGGAGGGGGAGCGCTCCCTGGATTGTCCCACTCCTACCCGGGGGGGGCGCTCCCCGGATCGCCCCACTCCGACCCAAGGGGGAGGGGGAGCGCTCCCTGGATTGTCCCACTCCTACCCGGGGGGGGCGCTCCCCGGATCGCCCCACTCCGACCCAAGGGGGAGGGGGAGCGCTCCCTGGATTGTCCCACTCCTACCCGGGGGGGGCGCTCCCCGGATCGCCCCACTCCGACCCAAGGGGGAGGGGGAGCGCTCCCTGGATTGTCCCACTCCTACCCGGGGGGGGCGCTCCCCGGATCGCCCCACTCCGACCCAAGGGGGAGGGGGAGCGCTCCCTGGATTGTCCCACTCCTACCCGGGGGGGGCGCTCCCCGGATCGCCCCACTCCGACCCAAGGGGGAGGGGGAGCGCTCCCTGGATTGTCCCACTCCTACCCGGGGGGGGCGCTCCCCGGATCGCCCCACTCCGACCCAAGGGGGAGGGGGAGCGCTCCCTGGATTGTCCCACTCCTACCCGGGGGGGGCGCTCCCCGGATCGCCCCACTCCGACCCAAGGGGGAGGGGGAGCGCTCCCTGGATTGTCCCACTCCTACCCGGGGGGGGCGCTCCCCGGATCGCCCCACTCCGACCCAAGGGGGAGGGGGAGCGCTCCCTGGATTGTCCCACTCCTACCCGGGGGGGGCGCTCCCCGGATCGCCCCACTCCGACCCAAGGGGGAGGGGGAGCGCTCCCTGGATTGTCCCACTCCTACCCGGGGGGGGCGCTCCCCGGATCGCCCCACTCCGACCCAAGGGGGAGGGGGAGCGCTCCCTGGATTGTCCCACTCCTACCCGGGGGGGGCGCTCCCCGGATCGCCCCACTCCGACCCAAGGGGGAGGGGGAGCGCTCCCTGGATTGTCCCACTCCTACCCGGGGGGGGCGCTCCCCGGATCGCCCCACTCCTACTCGGGGTGGGGGGTGGAAGGGGCTCCTACCTACTGCTTCTACCTCTGTGGTGGGGGGAGGCCCAATCAATCAGACCCCCCCACTCCAACCCCGGACTGTACCAATCCCAACCCCAGGGGGCCCCCTGGACCGCCCCGCTCCCGCCCAAGCAAAGGGGGGTTCCCGGCTCACCCAGCACAGGGATGCCGCCCAGCTCCCGCACCCGGGTGCGGCTGCCGGGCTCGGGGGCGCCGGTGGCCCGGGA